AGCCCTGCCGTAAGTAATGCATGAAGAATATGTTTATGGAAGTTTTAATCAGACGCAGTAGCCGATGCCCGAGGGGGTCGTTACCGGCCGCCCGGCCGCCCCGCTCGACCGGCCGGCTGGCGGGGCCTCCACATAAACACAAGGAAATGTCTTAATCCGGCGGCGAGTAGTTAGATCGGGCGCTGGAGCCGCGCTGAGCTGGACGCCGCGCTCAGGAGCGCCAAGCCGCACTGGGCAAAAAGCCAGCGGGAGGCGAGGGCGCGGCACGCCACTGACCTTTAGCGCCTTCACCGCGCAGGGCGCTGCTCACCGGGCGTAGGGCTCGTCCCGCTGCTCACCGCTAGCGCCTTTGCCACACGTAGGGCGCGGCCCGCCGCTGACCGCTACCGCCTTCGCCATTTGCAGGGTGCGGCCCGTCGCTGACCGCTACCGTCTCTGCCGTCGCTCATGTCCAATTTCCAGCATCTCTTGTTGGCGACGCACGTGACGGCGGATTTGTACGAATTGATATCAAATGATGCGGATCACACGTATTCAATATTTGTGAGAGGGTCACATTGTCACAAGCGGCCCTGGCGATTACCTGGAAAATTGGTAATGACTGTTTTTTATCTTCAGAATGACACCATTTAATGCGAGCCCAAGTGTTAAAATGTCATTAATGAGGTTTGGCCAAAACCTGACATATGTACATTTTACAAGAAATTTAATAAAATATTAAGCAGTATTTAAATAATGAGTTAAAGTATAACATTTAACTCTTTCTTTAATTCAAAAATACAAATTAAATAGATAAATATTAACGACGTTTCAGTGAAACTTTCGAAATTCGTATTCAGAAAGGGAAATATCGAAAATTAATATTTGTTAATGAAACTATCCACTTCTTTGAGCATGTCCTCGTGAATTTGCCTTCAAGCATTAATAACATGAGATAACTATTACTGAAATACCGTAGTTGATAAAAACGCAAATAGGTTAATACGTTCTAAAAGTTTTACATCAACGCCAGAAACGACACATCGTGGGACCACAAATCGTGCTCTGACACTCAATGTATGCCATTCACTCTGCATGCGACAAACCTATCATTTGCGACTTCTAGATTGGATCATTTATACTTGCGTACCTCGAAGCCGGTTGTTGTTTAGAGGTCACAACATGCGCTAGGCATCATTACATTTGGAGCAGACGAACAATAGAGGCGGCCGAAACGTGTAGACATTCAGCGGCACCGCGAACTTGCGAAAGTGCTAAAATGTCGGATTATGAGACACATCATTGCGTATAATTATTCGTAAAAGACCAACTCATGAAATATTAGTCGTCTGAAGACCTATCCAATTGTGTAAAAAAAAAGTATTGTGGCTTGCTTTTTGCGCAGTGGCTTGGAGGCCATTGTGCTGCCGGTACCTCGCGACGAACGTCCCTGTACTTGCTATTCGAATAATGCCAAATTTCACGCTCTTTTTTGCACTTAATTATATATCAGATACCACCATGTGAAATTGGTCAATTTTTTTTAAAGAAATTTCTCTTCGAGTAAAAATAGTACTGTGTTCTATTAAAAAAACGAAGCTTGTTCAATATCTTTAGAATAGAAACTATCATAAAGCTAATGACACCTAATGGGCCTTGTCCTATATTTTTGGTCAAAATTTCATATGAATATCTTGGATCGTTGAGAAAACACTAGAAGTGGAGGTTTTTCCAGCTGACGGGTCGCTTTCTGTTTCATTCGAACTTAAACTCAAACTTCCAACTCAATCCTTCCCACTCCACTACCTTTTTTTCTGAAATTGTGGAGCTAACCTTAAATTTAGAGGCTAATCGAGAAAAAAAGTAATAGGTAATGTGATAACACCAGGGAATATGGTTTTACCTCCAGGAAAGTAGAGTACGCAAAACGTACGCCTTTTTGTATGTAGATTGCGAATATCACAAAAACTTCATATCATGTCACAGTTTTTAAATACAGCGTATCTTTATACCATATCATCCCATATTTTGCTATTAATGCAAATACATTTAAATTGCACCTGTAAGATATGTCGATTCAATAACATATTTTTTCAGTTCATATACGCCACTCACTAGATATCAACAAAATTAGGCTTTCGTGTGTTGTTTTTTTTAACCTTGCCGTCTTTATTCTCGCGACTGGTACGCGTCTACGCGTCTGGTCTCGCGAATTCGCGAAAAGTCGCGCTCAATAGCGAGTAAATATTGGCCTTGATCGTAGTGGAAGTTTCGAAAACGAGTCACGTGCACCCTCATATTTTCTACGGTGCATCAGTCACTGAAAGACCTTATTTTAGCCACTTACCGTATCGCAAATATACAACTGTTGCGGTGGCAGATTCTGAGTCAGTTGGTGTTGTGGCGTCGTTAACACGAGGGCCAGAACCGTTAGGTTGGTGAAAGTACGCTGCGGGGGGAGGAAGGAGGGGTTTTAAGCCTGAACATCCGGGAGTTTGGCGCTTCTGGGGTTTGACTCATTAGGAGCCGCAGAGCCACAAAAATACTCGTTGGGCTGTAAACTCCGAGGAGGCTAGTTAGAGTGCTCCAAACCGGAAGCAGGCAGCCAACTGAGAATTCTCTGTGTGTGGGCGTAAACCAAGGCTGCTGCGAGCCTCGGCCAGTGCGAGTCTAATCTATGGAACAGTTGGTGGGGGTGTCAGCCTTAATATTTTAACGCGGGCGCCATCTGGCCCGCGTTCTCATTCAGTTTGCATCGGGTAGCTTGTACGTGTATGTACAAGGAGGGTGTAGGAGTGAAGGCTGAGATGTCCCGGAGAGTAATGGGCCAGAACAATCTCACGTGCTGTTTAGCACACGGTCGCCACGAACCGGGTTACTTTTGGCGTCAGGCCATGTGACGGTAATTGTCACGGACAGAGGTCCGACGGCGCGCCATCAGCGT